TCGGGAGAAACCAGACTCAGTTGGGCACGACCATTTCTCCTCTGGCCAAACATCTTGTGCAGATCTCGTCTGTCCCTGGAGTGTCACAGGAATCAGTCACATGCTCTCCAGTCCTCCAAGACCACCACAGCAGCTTCTCAGGATACGGCCTGGTCCAGGATGATGGAAACCTTTGGATCATCTTGTCGCCGGTCTTGGATCACATCAGTGGCGCTGCATAGTCTCTGGGGACCTCGGGATGAGTATCCCCAGTTGGAAATGAGAATAAAGAGGATAATTAGAGTAGCTGCTGTTCATAGTGTATATAAACGAGATGCAAAACCTGCGTAGAGCACATTCATGCATCATACTGCTATGCGATGCATTGAGTGCATGCTTTAACAAATAGATTTGAGTTTTGAACTTCAAGAGTGTGTCTGAACCTCGGACATTATTAGGAAGGCTATTACAGAGTCCTGAAGCCATAAAAGAGAAGGCTCCACCCCCTTTACTCGACTTTGCTATTCTAGGTACTACCAGAAGCCCTGAGTTTTGAGATCTCGAAGAGCAGGTTGGATTGTAGTGAGACAGAAGGTTGGTTAGATAAACAGGAGCTAGATTATTTAAAGCTTTATAGGGGTAAGAAGCAATATTTTAAAATCAATACGAAACTTAACAGGCAGCCAGTGTAAGGAGGATAAAATTGGGGTAATATGATCATATTTTCTAATCCTGCTAAGAACTCTGGCAGCTGCATTTTGCACTAGCTGAAGTGCCCTTCCAAAATAGTGATGTCTATCTGTTTAATGTGTTGTAATGTGATTTAATCTGGGTATTTAGGACAACGGAGCCTGATACCCAATGAGTTCTATTGAATTATTGTATTCTCCTTTTAATTATATATAGATACATATATACACTCGCTGGCCACTTTATTAGGTACACCTTACAAGTTCCGGGTTGGACCCCATTTGCCTTCAGAACTGCCTTAATCTTTTGTGGCATACAGTAGGTTCAACAAGATACTGGAAATATTCCTCAGAGATTTTGGTTCATATTGACATGATCATATTGAATATTATATATATTATAATAAATATTGACTTTTTAAATATTTAATATTTAAATGTAGATATTTATTTATTACTTTCATTATTATTCTTTTATATTATATTATATTATTATTATTATTATTATTATTATTATTATTATTATTATTATTATCATTATTATTATTATTATTATTATTATTATTATTATTATTATTATTATTATATTTTTTTTATTATTTATACATATCTGATGGCTGAGACCCTAATCCTCACAAGTTCTACCAATCAAACCACAAAGTGTGATCTCCTAAACAGATGAATGAGTCTTTCAAATGATAGTGTGGCTCTTATTCTCCCAGACAGTCACTGACCGGCTTCTCCTGCAGGGTTTTTGGCACATTACTCTTTCCTCTCCCCATCTTCAATCTGCTGTACTTGCACCTTTTACCATGCGCATTTACCTTTCCCCCATGGCGCTAGATGCTCAAAACCCCCGCACAATGATTTGGCTCCTACTTCACTCTCATAATTATTCTCATTCTTTAATGATTTTAAAAGAAATATTTAAAGCCAATATGACAGTCAGTTCTATGGGTCTCATTACATTCTGGCTTCTTATAACTGCTATAGGACTTATACAAACAGCTGAAGTAAGATGTTTACCGGGCAAGGACTTTTTAAGTATTTCCTTTAATATTTGTTTTATTTTGACCAGAATAAAAGTAGTTTTTAATTTGTTTAAACCATTTTACGGTCAATATTATTAGCCCCCTTAAGCAATATGTGTTTTTTTTTTCATTGTCTACAGAACAAACCATTGTTATTGTCACAATCATCAGTGATCTAGGCTTTGCAGTTCCCTGGAAAACTACACATGAGCCACTATAAAATACTCCCTTAAGTCTTTGCGCTTACACACCAGTTTCACACACACACACACACACACACACACACACACACACACACACACACACACACACACACACAGCTGGAAGCTCATGATAAACTGATTAGTAGAACAATATAAAGACACATCCTTCACACACTCTTAGCTGAGTCTTAGTTTGTTTGTTTCATTGTGTATGTTGTTTTGCCGCCCGTCCCAATCATTTTCCTGTGGCCTCGACTGTGTTTTAGATTACCTACATGCTCCTGTCTGTCCCGGTTTTGACCATTCTCAAATAAATCTGCATTTGGATCCTCAACTTCGTTGTTCCCCGTCTTACGGATGACTCACTGTGCGTTCGAAAGCAGCAAGTGCGTCATAGTAGCCAGATGTCACCTATTTTCAATTGGAGTCAGCGGCGATAAGGAGTAAGGTGCATCTTCGCCAGTGTGGGCATCGAAAAGAATTTAAATCAATTTAACTTTATGGTAATGAGCTATGACGCGGTTTGATGTCAAGCAATCAGAATGTTAAAGTCCACCTCTTGAGAGGAGTCCAGAGAACAAAGTTCTGTCAACTTTGGTTCCAACCACAGTTGTTCTTAAATGTTTGATTATTGCAGTCACCTAATTTCCCAATATTTACGAAGTTTTCTTACAGAGACATACATTTTAAAAAGCTACTAGCGAGTTGATGTGCATTCATGTTATTTTTAATTTTTTTTTATATAAAAAAGTGGGAATCCCATGCTAACTATAACAGCAATGCTAAACAGTATCGCTGCTTCAGAAAATTTCAGACATATGGATACATTTTGGATAGGTGGAGCAAAGCCACACCACGCGCAACAACTTGATCTTCCATAGTTAAATAAATGTATCATATTTGATAAAAAGAATCCAACATGTTCCCGCTAAAAGAATATTCTTTTATGCATGAATGTAACTGATTTGCTGCAACACCCCCTTTAAATATTAGTTCAATATATAGTGAATTTTGATGCTCTCACCAGCGTAGCAGGGAAGGCAGAAAGGGTTGTTGTCAAGCCGGCAAGAGCGAACTTTGACGCTATCATAACCTAAGGTGTGAAAGCACGGTCAGCCCTGTATGTGTGCGCAAGTGTGGTGTATAAATAGTCCAGGATATCAGTCCATGATAATTATCAGCTTTGTAGGTAATCAGTGGGAATCAGGGACTGGTGTATGCACGGTGCTTACTGGGAGTTGTAGTTCGTTAATGTGGCATGTGTGTAGTTCTCCAGCGATCCACAGCCGCTAGATCAATAGTGTTTTTAACAGTTATACAGTGCTTTTCCTGCTATAATTAACATGATTAATCAAGTCAAGCCTTCAAATTGCACTTTAAGCTAAATACTATTATATTGATAAACATATTATTTTATATTATATTAAAATTAGTTATTAAAACTATCATTTTTAAAAATATTTTGAAAAAAACATCCTTTCCATTACTCAGAAACTATAAAAATATATACAAGAGGGCTAATAATTCTGGCTTTAACTGTGTAATTATACAGTAAGTTATATTTAAAATGTAAACGTAAATAAACAACTAGTTCATTACAACATATGTTTTTAAAATACTTATCCAAATAAGTCAACCATATTAAAGCTTGGTTTTTAATTTGACAATTAACTTTATGACATGTCAAATGTGATTTTGCTAGTTAAAGGTTTGCTATATTTTGGTATTTGTTGATTCCCTCAAATTCAATTTGTCCCAATGCCGTAATGCCCTCCTAAAAGCCACTCAAATATTCAGCACGGAGAAATTTCTTTGTGAAATGAGTAATAAAATAAAATCATTCTAACAGGCTATTTCGGGACGGAATATACTGGCAATTTCGTCTTGAGTAAATTTCATATTCACTACAAAGCAGTTTTGGCACTGCTCATTTTTCTCATTTAAATGTCTCTTTTTTTCCTCTCTCTCCGCCTTGAATGAATTACCCACATGACATTTGGCTTCAACGCCACAAGCTTCACAATAATATTCTGGCTTTTCAATCCCCTGATTTAGTTGTGTTCAAGTCATCTTATTCTGGTGTATTTCATATCATGTTCAGCACAGATGTACAGTTAGACCAAGGCCATTGACTTGGACTGGTTAGAATTGAATCATTTATGATTTAGGAAAACACAATTATTTTGTCTGCTTCTTTGCGTGTTGTTGTTTTTTTTTTTTGGAACAATAATAAGTATTTACTTATTTTAGTATGTAGTGTAATCCAAATATATGTTTAATAAAATAAGTGATATAGATCTATAATAAAACATACTGAGGTATAATGTTGTTCAACTTAAACTGTTTACTAAATTAAGTATTACTGTGTACTTATGTTCTTATTTTATTTAATTTAATTTTTTTTTTTAATTGTTCATTCAGATAGAAGTGACTGAACTCTCTTGTTGCAAACTTGGATTTAAAATTTTCTATACACTCTAAAAAAAAATTCCGTAAAAAAACGGTAAAATGTACTGGCAGCTCATTACACAAATATTTTACCGTAAATTAAAAACGGAAAACTTCTGTTAATTGACAGTGTCCACATTAAAAAAACTAAAAAATATCCGTTTTTTGACGGTTAAACTACTGTAAAATAATGAAACATTTTATAGTAATTTAAGGGTTTTCTATATAAAAAAACGGCTATTTTCTGTGTTTTTAAGGGTTTACCAACAGTAAAAAAGCGGAAATATTTTGTGTTTTAATAGTATACCTACTGTAAAAAAAACAGACAGATTCTGTGTTTTAATAGTATACCTACTGTAAAAAGAGGACTTTTTTGTTTTTTAATAGTATATATACACAGTGAAAAAATGAACAGATTCTTTGTTTTAATGGGATACCTACTGTAAAAAAAAAAAATTATTTTGCTAATTTAATGCTCTTCAAGCAGCATAGAAATGGCAGTTGGTAAGGATAAACATATACATATGGGAAATACACTATTAATGGTTTACCATAGTAAAAAAAAACATTTATTCTATACTGTATGTATAAAGAAGCAGTAAATAGTTTGTTAACTGTGAACTTACAATTAGTACAAAAACAACTTTGCAATTAAAACAGATTCTTTAATGAATACAAATCATTTGAATTCCAAATAGCTAGTTATACACACAATAATACATATTGACATGTGAATCACACAGTGAGAAGTCTTGGCAAATAATTTCATAGCAAATTAGTTTTAAATGTTAGCTTTAAGATAATTGAGGACAAGTGGGCAAATTACAAGTACTTTACATTAAGAAACCAGGTTAAACTGCAAGATGGCAGGAAACGGACGATACAACTGGGTCTTCTTCCGCTCCAATACTGATACTTCAATAGCTGTAAAAAAAAAAAAAAAAAAACATTACTAATGACATTACACTTACAACTGGGGGGATTCCTTGCATGTCAATAGTTTACACAAATGGAGGTTTTATCATCATCTTCTTATCTCACTCTTGTAATTTCAAGCCTGTCTGACTGACATACTTCCACAGAACAAAGTAGGAGAAATAGGAGCAACATTCTTTAAAATATGATATTTTGTGTTTTGTAGAGGAAACAAAGTCATACAGGTTTAAAATGTCAAGAGTGAGTAAATTATGAATGATCAATTATTCAGTTTTGGGTGAGAAATCACTTTAAGATTTTTCAAAATAAAGTGTAGGTACTTTTGACAATATTCGGAACAATAATGCAAGAGAGAAACAGTAATATAAACAAACTATGCTGGTAACACTATAATAACTACAGGCTATGATTCATTTATGAAGCATTAGCAAATAGTGAATTCATTATCTGTTAAGCATTGACTCTAAATTAATAGATGTTAGCAGTCGGTTATAAATACAGCTGCAAAATTTGCTACAGCTACAGTTTAATAATTGTGCTATCAAACTTTAATGATTGATTTTACATTACTATTTATATATATATATATATATATATATATATATATATATATATATTATATTATATTTAATATTGCATTATTTACAAAACTTCTTCCAGTTGTGGCCTAATCTGTGAGGATTATTTATGATTTATAAATCCTTATAAACGACAGTTAAAGGCTCAGTATCAAATGAACATTAAATCATTACAGTCTTATCTAAAAAATGTAATTACTGTAAATATGAAACCTTGCTGAATAGCTGGAGTGCCAAAATATAACATAAAACTGGATAAAACAACACTAAAATAATTTAATGATATTACGATGCAACATTTCAGTGTTATTTAGCTATGTTTAAACTGTACAGTAATTTTATTTTAGATAAGATTTATTTTTTATTTAATACAATAAAATGAATTTCATTTTAAGGATATAACTGAATCTTTAATTGTGATTTATAAGAGGATTTACAAAGCATAAACAATCCTCACTTTAGGCTACAAAACTGGATGAAGTTAACAAAAGCACTTATTAAAATAAATATTGTATATACTTTATATACTTATTTTTTGTACTTTATTTACAAATATAACTATTACAATTCATTCATGTATTTTCCTTCAGCTTAGTGTGTACTCACACTATGTATAGTTGCCTTAAACCAGGCCGAAGCACTCTTGTCTTCCCTCCCATCTCCCCTGACGTCCCGCACTCACATTGCATTCGAGCCTGAGCACTCTTACATCATCGATGATGCACTGTTTAGTTTAGGAAGTGCTCTCAGCACGGAGGAGAATTCTTTAGTTATATTGTTTTAGTCGTTTGGGATGCAGTAACACGCTGTCAAATATTTCGCCGAACAGATCAGCCACTTTTGATGTTAATAAACAATCATACATTCCTTGTGCTGCAGGAATAGGAGGTTTGCTAAAGGCGCAGCTGTGGTGCAGTAAGGGGTTTGCGTTCATTGAACAGTAATAGTGGTTAATTTATCTAAATCAAAGTCCCTTGCAAACTGTCATAGATTAAAGACACAAACCCCTCACTGCACAACAGCTGCACCTTTAGCAAACCTCCTAGTACCTGCAGCACGTTGACTTTGATTGTTTATGAGCGTCAAAAGTGGCTGATCTGTTCGGCGAAATATTTGACTGCGTGTCACTGCATATTGAACAACTAAAACGATATAACAATATAAAGAAATCTCCACTGTGCTGAGTGAGAGCACTTGTTAAACTGAACAGTGCATTATTGATGATGTAAGCATGCTCAGGCTCGAATGAAATGTGAGTGCAGGTCGTCGGGGAGACAAGCACGCTTCCAGTTTCAAGGCAACTGTGCATAGCATGAGTACGCCCTTGAAAACACCCATACACACTTATTTACAAAACACACTCATACACTACAGCCAATTTAGTTAATCAATTTCCCTATAGCTTATGTCTTTGGACTGTGGGGGAAACCTGAGCACCCGGAGCTCTTCTTGCTGTGAGGCAACAGTGCTAGCCAATGAGCCACTGTGCTGCCCAACTATTACTATATGCCTGAATAATAAGATATATAAATGTTAGTTTGAATAGTTTATTAACCATTTACTTACACATTCTGAATGATTCGAAAAAAAAATACACCAACTATTCTTAAATCACTGGTTTGTAAATAATGCTATACTAAATATAGTAATGAAAAAATAATCATTAACAAAATATAAAAACAAAATCATTAAGCACATTATAGATGTGCTTATAAGTCAAGATTACAGCATTTGCAGCTGTAGTTATAAACTGTATACTAAGGTCTATTAATGTAGAGTTAATGCTTAACAGAACCTTTTGCTAATGCTTAATAAATTAATCAATAGTGTTTAGTTATTATAAAGTATTACTGGTGTGCTTAATTACCTTTAAATCTTCCAAGGATTCTGAAAGTCTTTCTGGTCTGACAGGAATCAAAGGAGTTTAGATGGTATGTTTCTGCTTGGTGCTCTTTTTTCTGCTTTGGACCTACATTCTGGATAGTTACTCAGCATGCTCCTGTTGTAAATACAACAAACATGTATCAACTTACTTGTCTTATAAAAATGAAAAACTTAAAAATGTAAAAACAGACCTTCATATAAACTCCAGAGTCAGGGCTGCTTCCTTAGGCTACATAATGTTTAGCACATAAGAGACTAAACATGTAGCTCACCACAATTAGGGGACAGCCCAATGATCTTGTTATTGTGACTGTGGACTCTTTTTCTGAAAAAAAGAAAAGAAAAGTGAGTTGTGTGTTGGGTCTGGTACACGTCCACATGGAAAGAACCTATATAAACATATGGTTTAATATAGGTTTTGATTTAGGTTTTTGAAATATGTGACAAATATAAAATTGGCTGTTTTCCTATATTACATTTACATATATGGGTACATATATGCACACCTATATGTTAAACTATTAATATTATAAATAATATTATAAATATTATAATTATTATGTAAAATTATTCAAATACATGTCTGCTACATAATTTAAAAGAAATTAAAATATATATATTTACTTAATCAAATATTACAAGAAATAATTATAGTGCAAGAACAAAAATAAGGCAAAAAAAAAACAATAAAGGAAAGAAAACAAAATTTTAAAAAATGACAAACCATTTTGTTTTCCATTTCTTTCTTTTCCACTATCTTTATACAAGAAAGAATTGACCTTGAAAATGTTTCAGGAAAACGTGTAGACATCATAGCTTTCCATTTCCTCTCACTTATTTGCCATAGTTAAATTCCATAACATGCCAATAACATGTGATACAAAAGTCAAGTGGCACATACATAAGTTTTTCGCATTTTTTAAGTTAGTTCTTACCCAGAGAGCAAACCTACGTTAAATTAACATTGAATAAATGTTAAAACATCAATCAAACTATCATTGAAACAACGTTAAAAAGTCACCACTGATTTTTAGGCAGTTTTCCACCCTGAAATAATGGTAATTCTATGATGATAAATAGACAAAACTTTCCAAAAAAATCAGCATTTATTCAACCAAAATTAAATCTTTTTTTTTTTTTAACAATGAACCCAACATTAAATAAAATGTTAAATCAACCACACTATCATACAATTAATGTTGAAATTTAAATTTGATTTTTAGCCAGTTTTGCATCCTGAAATAATGTTATTACAATGACGCTAAATAGATTAAACGGTCACAAAATTAGCATGAAGGCCTGGCTCACCATCAAGATGCCCACATTGAAATTGTCTCTCTCATCATCAGGTGGCTAAGAGAGAAAAGAAAAGAGATTCAGCAGTGGACCAGTTATTTCCTTATCACTTTAAACAGACATTACCAAAATAAAGAACTTGTAACATTTCAAATGATGCAATAAATAAATAATTATAATAAATAACTGCTTGGTTTATTTAACAGATTACAGTAGCAGCTTAAAAAACCCAGATAAAACACCCACATCAACCCAGTACTTTTTAGTTTGAATACATATTAACAAAATTCTAAATTACAGAAGCAAAATGTGTTCATGTAAACACTTAGTAAAAATATAGGTACAAGTAATTGGTTTTGCCAAATAATAAAAATAAAAGCATCAATATCAAAAAAAAACCCTGACCATTTTACCTCTTTAGCTTGAAAGTTTACTGTCATCCCCTGTACTAAGTACAGATGGTCCAGCACAACTGCCCGAGTTCTGAAAGAGCAAAGACATTCTTGGTAAAATGACAATAGATGCAATGCTAAATATAAATCATTTTTTATTTTTATTTTTTGTATTATTTATAAAAATGCAGTACTGACCAGTCAGCATCAATTTTTACACCAACACACCTACAACAAAAATAACACTCATTCAGTTTGAAACATGCAACGTAGTCTACTTTTATACTTTACATACTTTGTGAATAATAAAAAAATGAAAACATTTAAAACCCCAGCTGTATTTTATTTTATTTTTCTATATCAATTCAAATTTAGTTTGGATTGAACGTAAGATTTAATATTTTTATTTAGATTGCTGTGAAAATGTACCTGTACCTTGTACTTATAACCAAAATTACAGAACCTGGAAGTCAACAAAGCAAAATATCAGTGAACCTTATATGTACAAAACACTTAAACCAAACAGAAAAAACGCTGAACATTTTACCTCTTAAACTTCAAAGTTTACCGTCATCTCCTGTATAAGGTACAGAGGGTCCAGCACAACTGCCTGAGTTCTGAAAGAGCAAACACATTCTTGGTAAAATTACAATAGATGCAATGCTAAATATAAATCATTGTTTATTTTTTTGGTAAAAAAAATGCAGTACTGACCAGTCAGCATCACTTTTTACACCAACACACCTACAACAAAAATAACACTCATTCAGTTTGAAACATGCAGCACGTAGTCTACTTTTAAACTTTAAACTTTGTAAATAACAAAAAAATGAAAACATTTAAAATCCCAGGTGTATTTTATTTAATTTGTCCATATTAATTCAAATTCAGTTTGGATTGAATGTAAGATTTAAGATTTTAATTTAGATTGCTGTGAAAATGTACCTGTACCTTGTACTTATAACCAAAATGACAACATAAACATAAAGCAAATCTTATATCATATATCAGTGAACATTATATCTACAAAACACTCAAAATCAAACAGAAAAACCCTGAACATTTTACCTCTTAAACTTGAAAGTTTACTGTCATCTCCTGTATAAAGTACAGAAGGTCCAGCACAACTGCCTGAGTTCTGAAAGAGCAAACACATTCTTGGTAAAATGACAATAGATGCAATGCTAAATATAAATAATTATTGTTATGGTTAAAAAATGCAGTACTAACCAGTCAGCATCAATTTTTACACCAACACACCTACAACAAAAATAACACTCATTCAGTTTGAGACAAACGTTGTGAATAATAAAAAAAAATGAAAACATTTAAAATCCCAGGTGTATTTTATTTCATTTGTCTGTATTAATTCAAATTCAGTTTGGATTGAATCTAAGAATTTACCTGTAACATGTACTTATAACCAAAATGAAAGAACCTGAAAGTCAACAAAGCAAAATATCAGTGAACCTTATATGTGCAAAAAAACTGACTCAAAATCTACATAAAAGATTTCATTTGCGATAACACCATGTGTAGTTCACTCTATTATCAAGGTTTCATTCAAATAAAACTTCTGATCTCCTAATAGTAAAGAAAGTATTATTTGCTATAATGAATCGAACTGACAATTAGTTTGAAGAATTTTAAGACTGTGGAAGAACAACTCATCTTTATATCTTCATATTAGCTGCCCTTGAGGTTCTTAAAAGTGAATAAATAAATATCAATGACAGTTCAACTCGACTACAACAAACATTTAATTGTGTGCTTTAAGGTACACGTTGTATTTGAGGCCGAAAACGCATGACAGTGTAAACACTATAAATAACTTTTAAATGTCACACACTTACTGTATCACTCTGTTATCTCTGTACACAAAACACGCGTCGCGAAATGCGGAAGTTTTTTTTTCGTTCCATTTGGCGAGCGTTATTAAAACACTCTCATCAGTTCTTGCTTCTTATTTGCGTCTATTACCCAAGTTTGTCACGCGGGATGAATGAAATGTTCATGAGTTAAAGTGAAACTGCCGAACTGCAGTTAAAGTCAGGCATCCTGCTGATTTGATTCAGAAGGGCACTTGTTTGTCAGACGGCTCACCGGTCAGGTATACATCCGCGCTAAAATGTCAAAGTATGAAAGTCACCCAGCTCCCAACCCAACGTTGAGAATAGATTAACGGCGATATATATTTTTTATCGCGCGATAAGTCTCGCGTTAACGCAGCACGTTAATGCTGATAATGGCCCACCACTAATAATAACTTTATGAGTGTGTATTTCCCCTCATACCGAGTTACAAATGCCTCCAATTCACGCGAGTCTAACTTATAACTTAACGTTAACGTTACTTAAAAACCAGCAAAGCTGTTCCACTGAAACTCGGTCACACAGCCTTAATACGTCGGTCAAACTAAAGCTAACATTTGATAACGTCAGTAAAAATATGAAATTAGTTATTAATATGCAAACAAACACAGATGGTCAGGTGTTACGAGCGTTTGAAACACGTTAACGTTAGTGTTCATTAAAGGTAACGTATATCAACCAAACTACACAGTGTCACAAACTTTGAATGCTATCCCTTGTTCAATGCACTGTACAAAGAAAACATTTATATTTCTATTAAATAATTAACATACCTTTCACACTCTCACAGACAAACTGACGTTTACCGTTAATCCAGTCAGACTCACGCAGGTGCATATGGCGTGCGGAATGGGTCAATAACTTGACGCTGCAACGTTCACTCGTCTCACTGAACGTGACGTCTGCGTCTGCCGAACGTGACGTCTTCGTCTGCCGAACGTGACGTCTGCGTGTGCCGAACGTGTCGTCTGCGTCTGCCCCATTACTGTTGCGCTGCTTTAACGTGACGTCTGCGTCACGTCTGCGTCTGCTTCAAGGGTTTGCAGCAGATTGCTCTCATTTCTGCTTTATTATACCTATTCATTCTCTATCAGTGTTTTCACTTATCCACAGTTATGTTTCATTTGCAATTAAGTGCTTTTTACCTTTCTTATTTATAGTTTTTTATTTCAAATGGTAAATATTTATACAAATGATTTAAACATTTTGGTATGCCATATATGGTTATTCCTATATTGCTTCTTTTATTGTGGATACAGCTGATTGGTGTGTGTCTACAGTTTGCAGCAGTGTGTGCGCACACCTGATGGCTGTGTTTGACCTATAGTTCATGTGTGTGCTCATATGAAAGCCTTTGCTTTGAAATTGCAAGGAAATTCCATTATGAAAAATGTCTGTGTCAAAAGCATCCAAGTGTGTTTAGTGATTTGCAAATGACTGTGTGTAATGTTTTGCTAACAGTATGAAGCTATGTGCCTACAGTTGTGCAGATCTAGCCTTGTGTTTTGCTCCATGATTGTACGGTTTTGCTAATTGTAGGAAAAGTTTAATTTAGTGTGTTAGCAATCATGAAAAACTGTAACTGGGTATTAGGTATAAACTAGGCTATTATATTTATCTACAATACATTTGTTAACAGTAGTATAGCTGTAAATATTAGTCTTCAATAAATATGTTTAACAGGAGTTATAAATAAATAATCTTCAATAAATATGGACGGCAATGTTGCAGTATGGAAGAGGAAGCACGGAAGGGAGGAAGATTGGTAAACAGGAGACAGGGCATGGGATTTTTTTTATATATTGAAATGTACACATCACCAGAAAGCTGAATAAAACACTTTACATTTGTTGTATGGTTTTTATTAGGATAGGGCATATTTAGCTTTCTGTCTATCACTGTTTGGTGAATACAGTATGTTCATGTACTTTATAGCAATACCTCTGAAACAAATCAAACCCAGATTATATAAGTATTAGTCAGGTAGAAATTATACGAGTGTTTAAGATTGAGATCAGCAGTGTATAAATGAAGCAAACAGATTTATCTTGAATGAGGCGTGTGTGTTCTGTACGGTGTTAAAATTGTGTTTTGTTATAGTGTTGTAAAGTTTTGGATGAAGTGTTTCATTTTGCAAAAGGTCTGATGTGTTCTGCTGTTTGTGTGTGTGTGTGTGGAAATTGTGTGTAGTGTTTTGACAAAATGAGCCTTCATTTCAAAATTGTGCTCGAGCAATCAAAAAAAAAAAAACTGTAAATGAACATTGACTCACTTACAGTTTTTTTACACACAATTACTTGTACTTCAGACACAATGACTACAACATGTGACTGATGTACTAACCCCCTGAACCAATGCAGCTAAACTACAAGCACAATTCCTGCTTTACACTCAAACTGCAGGTTTAAAACACACTTTTTTTTCAAAACACAACACACAATTCTCTGCATTTGGCACAAATTTCATGCAGAAAATCTCTTGTTTTTACAAGGAACACACTGTCATTCACAATTGTAAAGTCAGTTGTCCTACTTTGTATACTAACTCATCACATGAGTAAACACCTGTCACACAGAATTGCAATTTAGAAATCAGAGCTCATCTGGTTCATAACTGGTTCACTGTCCGCTCATGTTTTTAGTTGTTTATCTCCTTCCATATTCTCCATTCCTTAATCCTATTAAAGATTTTTTTTCTGCTTGGGGATGGAAAGTGTATGCCGAAATATACAAGTAATTGTGTGTAAACAATTAAGAAAAACTGTAATAGTGACATTCTGCCACCTACTGGCGATTTTAGTTTTTAGTTTAGATGTAACATTTAAAGCAAATTTTAATTTTTTTAAATTATTTCAAATAACATTAGGCTATTCAACGTTTTAAGATTAAACATCACTGTTTTGGTTATTATTATGAATGGTTCAGGGTTTGGGTAATATTAGGAAATAATATGACAATTTAAAATAACGCTTTTCTATTTTAATATACTTATTTATTTATAAGATGCAAAGTACATTTTTTTGACACTATTATGTCGCATGATTTTTCAGTGTATTGTCAAAGTTGTGCTGTTAAATGTTTTTCTATGATATTTTTACAGGATTGATTGATGGAATCCTGGCAAATTATTATTCAAAATATAAATACTATCAATGTAACATTATTGCTGAATAAAAATATTAATTTTCTTTCAAAAAAGAAAGGAAACAAATGAAAAATAAATTATGTTATGTTTTTTTTATTTGTCAAAGAATCATAATATTGTTTTAAATGTAAAATAAAGAAGAAAGATGCTTTAAAAACAACACAATAATGGTTAATGTAATTTTCTATTTTTCTAATATTTTACAGCAAAAGTATCAGATCTAACAGTCGATAGTGGTCGATGAGTTGGTCATCACTGATTTGCTGTAGGCTACATTAAACATGTAAAAAATTAAAACACAATAAGACTCAAATGTAAAACAAATTAAAAAAGGATTTTACAAAACTAAACAACATGAATATATTAATAAACAACCTAAACTTTACCTCCGGAGACATTTGTTATTTTTGTTATACATTTTTTATACGTTTTAATGCTATCTTGAAAACAAATATCATTATATATTAACATATTTATATATAATTTGCACATAATTATTGTATATTGTATAAGTTAGCCGGCAAAAAGCAGACAGACGCACTAAAAACTGCTCAAATATATATATTTAAAAAAAAAGGTAGACGCAGACGTCATGTAACAAGTCAGACGTTGATGTCACGTCCATTGAGAGGAATGTATGAAGGGCAAGAAATTGTGCACTGCCTCACACACTGCACTGAGCCGTGTGAGCAGCGTGTTATGATACGTGTTAGCAAAAAAATAAATAAATAACTTCACTGCTACACGTGAATCACGCGTAACGTCTGGCTTGACACTTCACTGCCACACGTGATTTACGTGACGTCTACGTGACGTCAACGTGACGTCTACGTCACGTCTGCGTCTTAAATTGCATGGATTTAAAAGCAAAAAAAAATATTTTTCAAGACGTCAGTGAGACGTTCAGTGAGACGTTCGGTGAGACGAGTGCACGTTGCAGCGTCAGGTTAAAGAGCTCGGAGGAGCGCCATAGGTGCAGAGGGAGTGAGCGGGTGATAGGGACGTCACATCACTTCCCGCGCACGGCAGTTTAGAAAAATACGGACAAACAACTGTAAATGAACAGATACCATATTTACTGATGAGGAAAACGCATAAAAATGTAAAAAATCATTAGGTAAATGCTTGTTTGAATTACATTTAACCACTCATAGCTCGGTTTGATCTTAATGAAATAAAGTCTGATCTTATTAACAATATTAACCGTAATTCGCTGCTGTACTTTCCATGGGCACTTCATACAAGACAAAAATCATTTTAAATAACGATAAAAAGGTAATAAAGCAGTCTTTTAACTAAAATATTGTTATATGTTTTATTAATCGTACTTACCAGGGAAAAAACAGAGGAAGAAATATGTCCGGATGTCCATCAAACGCTGTCTGAGCTGCGATCCCCTTCC